TTTCACCTCTGACGAAGCCTAAAAGAGATGTGCAGATTCACAACCTCATTCATGTGATGGCCTTGAGATTGAACAGAATTAAACATCTCGGAATAGTAAAGCACAGAAGGTGACATATGCAAACTTTTGAGTCAGGCCTGTGGAGAGAATGTCTTGCTAGAAACGACCAAAAAGAGAATAAATTTATGTATCATATTTACCTCACGTACCTGGTACATATCTGAGAGAATGTCTTGTTAGAAATGACCAAAAGTGAAAATACATTTATATATCATATTTACTTCACATACCTGGAACATATCTGTGTTGCTGTCATGTGTATATTCAACTACTACTGTCTGGGCCCGAGACAAAGTGTAAGATATGCTGTGTTGGTCCTTGTTACTTATTGCCTATGGGAAAAAAGCCAAATATTACTGAACCAGTGAACAGTAACTCTACTGAATACAGCAGCAAAGCAGACAATATATAACCAGGCTCTTGTTCTGCTCAATTAACACATTGAGGCAGATGGTTGTTAGTGACACACCTGTAGTTAAACTTCACAAAACCCAGCCCTGGCCATTAAAAAAACCTGCAGGATTGATTCAGCAACAGATCAAACTAGCCTCTTCACCACATGCTGCAACAAAATACACATAACCAAGACATATTAGTCATGCTTTGTGTTAAAGCAACACTGGCCTTAACACAAAAACAACAAAACAACTGAGTGCAGAGGCTAAAACTGAATGCAACACCCTCACTGCCTTCTCAGCCTTAACTTCTCCAACAGCAAAGTGAGGACAAAAGCTTAGGGACTTCATTCTAAAATCGGGATCCAAGTTCATACTAAAACCAGTGATGATTAATAAGACACAGATAAAAAACACAACAAGTAGCGGTGGTAAATAGAGTAAAATGGAGAAACTCAGCACAGGCTGCAGAAGTTGTAGCAAAGTAATCTATGTTTCAGTTTGTTAGTCTAGATTTTCATTCTGCAACTACCTACTAGGAACTGAACAAACAGTGCTTCTACACAACAGTTACTTGAAGATCATAAAGAATTAGCAAAAAAAAAAAAGTTCTTATCACAGATCTCCTATTGAGGTAATTCTATTACAAGAACTCCAGTTAGCCAAACACTTTTGATTTCAGAACATTTTACACTATTCTCTGAATTCAGGAATCAATATTCTGAAGCATCAAGGTATTTAGGAAGTCAAACACTTAACACTACTGTATATGTTTAAGGGCCTGATCTTGACACTGGAGATCTCTAAAACAAGCAATAAGCATTCAAATTCCATTGGTTTTAGTAGAAATACTCCCTTTGTTATTGAACACAATTGCATGTACACTCGAATTGCCACAATACAGGAGTAGTTCATGGTAATACCTCAGCTATAATATATTAGTTTTGACATGAAATGCAATTCAGCTTCAGGACCCAAGCCCTTCCTTTATGCTTCTTAATGGGAACTCTGAATGTGACTACAAGTCCTGTAAAACACGGTCTGCAAAATCCACCTGTCCTCATCCCTGCAGAGCCCCTACCAATGATGGAATAGCAAGTGCACACAGAGCTTTGGCAAAGGATCACTTAAGAGTCAGCTTCATGTGAAGCGTGTGAGTGCGAAAACAGGAAGTCTAGAGCAGATGTCAGCAGTGAGTTTGGAAGGAAAACAAACTAGAAAGTGTTTTACATGACTAGCCTGTGCCCTGAACATTCATGTTTCGAAAATAAACATTCTTCTTTCTGGACGTGGCAAGGACTAGGCACCAGGTTTGTTTTGTTGAACGGTTTCTTGCTAACGCTGACAAGTACCAAAAACCCTTGGATAAACATGAACCATTCTTTTCACAGCTAGAACTTCACACTTTTTACAGCCTTTTATCTCAGCACAACAGCACTGACTTCACTGAACTCTTTAGATAGCACCAGGAGAAATAAGACTTAACTAAGCAAACAGAGCTTACCTTTGCTGCTTGAGGGGTACAGGCAATATGCACAGTGCTAGGTTTCACCCCATTTGCCTTGGGCCTTTTAAATAAAGCAAACCTACTTTTTCTTCTTCCTCTATCTCCATTTGGGAGAGACCCATTGTACCTATCAAAAAACACAGAAAAAGAACAAAGTCCACCTTCTTGTATTACTTAGCTTCTCATGAAATACCCACAAGAACTTTCATTCTAAGCACAAAGTCTTCTTATTTAGTAAGGCATTAATAACTACAGATTTCCAATTAATCACATTTAAATCTGGGAATTGATAAACACAGTATTGAAATGCGCCTACAGAATTACAGCATATACACACAAAGCTTGCAGGGCAAAGAATGCTACCTAGATTAATCTCAAAGCTACTACTGACAAGCAAGAAAGACTCAAGTCCCAAACATGAAAACAAGTAAGGTTATTTGGCTATCTGCGGCTTCATCTCTAAATAATGTGTTCACACTGTAAATACTCACCAATCCTGGTGGAGAGCCAGTATTTAAGAGAATTTTTATTGAACTAAGAACCCGTAAGAAATAGACATGCTGCCCTCCGAGACTCCAATTTAATCCATTTTAGAAAACTCTCACTTGGAGCGTGTCAACATAAACAGGCCAGCTGGCAAACCTGCTTCATTAAAATCTTCTGTTTGCACCTGACTATTTCAGTCAGCTACTACATCCTTATAAAACTCCTTTTATTTTACTTGAAGTCCTAGGGAACCTCTCCTTCCACATTACCACGTTAGTCATCTGTCTCGGCCCAACCTGGAACCAGCTGGGAAACCCTTCACAAATAGGCTGCCTTTGTCATAAAAACACTTACCTGGAAATAACACAGGAGCTGAAAATTCAGGTACTTGAGCTTAGAGCCCTACCTCTATGCTCATGCTGTTTCAAAAGCCTCTGCATACTGCAGTGCAATTTCCCAGTACATCACACTACATATAACGCCTGGTTGCCACTGGAAAAAGCAGCCCTCCCTCTTCTCCTCCCTTACATGAGATCAGCTACCAAAGAGAAGCTGCTCCGTTCACTGTTCAGTTGCACACTCACTAGATACACTGCAAAAAAGGGAGTTCAAGTGGCACCATCTCACAGTAACCTGCATTTTATCTGCTTTAAGTGCACCCTGAAATTCTACCTTCATTCTCGCTTCCCACCAAGATGCAAACACTTACCCTAATACAATCAATTCACCATATTTTACTGGTGCTTTTGATGGATGATTTTCTTGATCAGGAGAAAACATGAGCCTAGTTAACGACTTCTCAAATTTCAGGTGTCTGATCAAGAGTTGTGGCACGCTTTTTTCATTATTTCCTGTGAAAACAAAGATAAAATTAAGTGTAAAAGACTCAAATCCACCAATTACACTTACCTGATACAGTAAGTACAATATTTTGTGTCTTCCATATTTTAGTTTTGCCTAAAATAATTTTAAAAACACACATATAAAACCACATCAATTTAGGTAGAATTGCCTGAAGGAACTACCAGATGACCAAAAAAACCACAAGTGCGTTTAGGAAATTCCAGTATGGCCTTGATAAAACATCCACAGTTGTTTGCCTTCAACTAGTTTTTACTATAAACAATATATAGCTTCATCTAGTATGTTTGGTTCAACTATGAAGCAGCAGAGCCAGATAGAGATTAAATCTAAAGAAAAAAACCCAAAGCAAGATCAGTCTGTTAGCTAGAGGTAGAAGTTTTCAAGGAAAATATCTGATTCAGCGCTTTCCAAGAAACTTCTGGATTTGCAGATGGAAGGAGGTTGTATGACAATTTGATATCAAGCCTACCATCCAAGTTTGGGGTGTGCAATGTGATCTCTCATGTTTAAACTAGAGACAGAAGCGATACAAAAGCTGTTTGAAGATTTCCTGAGGGAATTGCACGTAATTCTCAATGAGAAGTCTCTTGAAGTGCAATTTTTCATCATACTTCTGCTTGGAGGAACAGTTCACACCAGTATTTTTTACAGCTTCTCATTAGTAACATTTTCAGACACCACTGACCTACCCAACCCATCCCTGACTTTCCTATAGAGAAAGCCTGCCCAACAGAACACTTGCTTGATGAAGCACAAAGCCGATTCTAGCCTGTTTGAGGCTTTCTTTAACAGACGTAAGAACATCCTCTTGGTCCTTCCAGCTTTCATACCAACTCAAAAAGCTATTAAGCTTTTTCAGTCCTAATGGTAACATTCTGCCTTCTGTGCAAACACACATTTTGGCCCACATAACATTTCTTGAATCCGGTCATCAACTTTGGTCACGAATAAAATGCTGTATCTCCATTTTCGTCTACCTCAACTAGATCGTAGATATCAGCAGAAAAGACGTCATCATCTAGATTTTATCTATCCCCATCTATGTCCTAACAACAGGGGAAAAAAGATGTGGCAGCACTTGACTCCCTGCTCACATTTGTTCAGGAGCTGATGCAAAGATCCCTTTACTGACCTGATCTCTACCCTCTACTGGTCCTCTTTTCTCCTTCACAGAGAAGCTTGGCCTTCAACATCCCTTCTCAAGCTAACAATTTGCTATTCAGCATGGATGTGTTGATCCCCACTTGCAATCAGCTCACAGTGCTCTCTGAAAATTCAGTGTGCTCCTTCATGCTTTCTTTCATGCCATCCCACATATTTGGGAGGGCTACACAGAAAAACACACAAAGACATCTTACTGTCCTACAAATATTGCTGTGATGCCTGCAGAACACAACCCGGAGGCTAAATCAAAACCTTTCTTCTTCCTTTCATTTCTCACTATTCTCTAAGTCTCTCCTCCTTTGCTTTCAAGTCCGGGTACTGTGGATTTCACAGTGCTTGAAATAAGTTAACTGAAGACTGTCTTTGTGGTTAGCATACATGTAACATCTCACAGGGGGTCAGGATGTCCTTGTGATAGTGTGGGCGTGTTGTAATAAACCTGATCTGCACAACACTACTGTCAAAGCGTCTGCATCCTGTCTACACCACAGTTACACCGCTATCTTTTCGTTGCACGGGAAGCAGTGTACATTTTCACTAGGCAGCAATCCTGGTTCAAGCCTTTGGGCAGCCATCATCTAGCTGGCACAGAACATGCCTTACACCAATCCAATGGTCCCCATCTGTCACACAAGAATAGCAGGAGCAGCCCAGGAGAGAGCAAAGCAGTAGAGTTTGTTCTGAAGCATTTCTAGATTGCTGACCCACGTGTAGCAGTAACTTAACGAGGATGGCAAGGGTATTTGCTGTTGTAGGTGGGGCCCAAAGTTTTGCCTTTAAAATTCTAAAATAAAGAATTTAAAGCAAACTTATATGAAAATGTGACCTTAAACTACTATCATGCCAGGAGTCACAACACACAGAAGTGGAGATTGTCCCATTTGGTAAGAGGAGCCCCACAACATTAAGTGTATACACAAGTTTCATGGTTGCTACGGTCATCCCGGGTCTTCCTTGCTACCTGGCATCACAACCCCTCCTTAGAGCACCACATCAGCAATTCTCTGAAACCACGTGCCTTTGAAGACACTGCAGGGGTCGTTTACTGACATTAATACTAAACTGTCTAGCTCTTAGTGTTTAATAGCGCTTGCTTCTCCAGCCACATCTCCCTTCTGAAGTATTTCTACTTAAGCAGCAAGTATAAAACTTAAGTATTAATCTGCATACAAAAATAAGGATACAAATATATTTTCTATAAAACTTCAGCACTTCTCATTTTGCTTTAAGTTCTGCTGGCATTATTGTTGCTTACATATTGTCTTCTAGAAAGAGCTCCTCATGTTTTCATCTAATCTATTAACCTATTTTCTACTTAAATATTGATCTCCTCAGCAGTCTTTCCCCTGCAATTCAGTCTTCTCCATACACAAATAATTTCATCTTGGCCATCGCATTTCGCATGCAATGCCCCACATTTCTTGGCTAGAATACATCACGGTTGTCCTTTGAATTGACATTGAACAACGTAGAAGAAATACTGCTATGGAATCTATAGCTCCACCCATTAGGAAATAGCATAGGACTAGTAAATACCATGACAGGGTAAAAAAAGATTTTAATAGCATCCACCCAACACTACAGTGCTTGATAAAGAACTAATCCATTCACTTCGAGAAGGTGGGAAGGCAAACACTAAAAATAACTTTAACTTTTGATATTAGTATAACAAAATGTTTGGTGTAATTTCTCCTCTGTTCACCCAAGTGAACAATTTCATGGAAAGCTAAAAAAATACATCTCCCAGAATCACCTTTTGAGTTTCATTAAAAGTAGTTACACAGAACAGTTAAAGGAGACTTTGAAGAGTTACCTGAGCAGGCAAGCCAGTAACCCTTCTCAAGAGAGATAACTGAGCAAAAACCTTAAAAGGGGCCAACAGTTACAAGTGGAGATTTCAGCAATGCAAGAAGCTAACTAGCAAATCTTAGTATAAGGGACATTGTCCAACATCTAATGCTCAGCTCCCCCTTAATACATTTTTTGTTTCAGATTTAAAGAAACCCAGCCAAGTTTATTTTGGGACCAGCATGTATAATGGAAACCCACTTACTTGACTTAAGGAAGGTTCAAGAATTAGAAATCTAGAGCTATCATTGGTAAAACCACTTGCTCATACATTTTCAAAAACATGACTTGAATATTTGAACTTGATTTAAAAAAAAAAAAGTCTCAGAACCTTTATGAGCTGCACACACTGCTTTTACAACTACTAACACCACCCAGCTAACTTCAACTCAAGCATATACAAAATTCAGCATCCCTAAAAAAAATAATCAGTGCAACTTACATACTACTTCTCACCCAGTATGATCTGCCTGATGCACTGTACCCAAAAGGAAGACTCATTTTGTTCCCGTCTTCCCAGAAATAACAAAGATTAATTGTATTCTTCCAAGTCCAAGTGAAATTTGATGTCTGTAAATAAAACTAAAGCGTTGTCCCACTGGAGAAGAGTCTAACAGGCCATGGGATAACATCTCCACTCCTGAAACAGTGCAGGCTTATGGATCATTTAAAGCTGGATAAAGCGCTCGAGAATATATAGGAGGGAATGCTCTTCAGCTGAGGGGAAGGACTCACTAATTTATATAACAGGCCTTCTCTTGTAGTATAACCTCACTAGTTTTTATTCCTAGAATACTAAACTTCTTGAAAGTGTTAGGAAAGGCTAATTAAATATGTTAAAAAGACAGCTCGGCCCTGAAGCGCTGGTACAGAACTAAGGAACCAACTGCTTGAACAAAATACGCTCAAGTTAGGTTTTTGCTGCTTTTTGCACCATCATCTCTGGACACTGGTGGAGTGGGCTTCATCAGAGTAGGTTCTGAATAACAGACTGTTCTAAACTCCTCTAAGAACCTTCAACGCTGACAAGGAATAAGGTCTTAATTACAATATCCCACTCCATTCTTCCAAAATCACAGAACTGCCAGCGGCAAATTCTTCCTGTCAAGACCTCTGCTTCTGCTACTGAGAAGAGAACAAAGCCTGAAAACCCCTACCTGTGCACAGCCCTGTATTATAGAGCAGAAAATATTTTGTAAGTAAAGCAACTTGTACACAGAAAAAAACTGTTTTAGAAAGGCATTGCTTGGTTTGGTAAGAGGTGAGCGCAACTGTTGGCAGTTAGCACAAAACCACAATGGGTACGAGTTAGTCTTTCAGTCTCAAAGATAGGAAACTGGAACAGGAAGATCTCACGAACAAGTAGTACCTTTTTATTCTTAACACTGGTTCCTCTGGAGGCAGGAGGAAAGCTCAAGGAAGGTAACTTGCACAATACTGTCCTGTGCAACTGTTTTGAGGGACTGGAAAGAGATGACATCTGAACTGAAAAAAGTATTTAAAATTTCTTTTAGGAACAGAAATCCAGTTTCTTACAAGCCTTCTTGTTCTTCAGTATTCACTTCAGTCACAGAAGGCAAAGATTGCTATGGCAGAAAGTCACAGATTTCTGATCACATTCAAGTAGAAGGAAAGGCCATATCGTTATACTGTCTCCTGTCACATTCCAACACTAGTCTCTGCATCTAGATGCAGACTATTCTACAGGAAGATCTCACAATCCACACTCCAGAGCGGATGAGGAGTTTAGAGTCTGCCCACTTTCACTGAACATGCCATTTTCAGTGGGTGACAGAGATACACTGAATTTTGGTTGGTTTTGAACTTTAGCTCATAGTTCAGCCATCCTCAATCTTCCAGCTGCCTTTTCTGATTACGAGACTCATACGTGACTAGCCTTTGGCGGCTTCTACAGAAAGTCTTCAGATCTTGTTTGCACTAGAGCACAGCACCTTACCTATTTAGCACACCAAGTATAGCTTTTGGAATTGCAGCAAATATGGCAGTATCGTAACGGTTAAAATGGGGTAGGAGGAGGGGAGAACATAAATTCAATGAGCCCAAGCAGAGATTCATTAAACATTCGGCTGTGAGCTAAAAATACTAGAATAAAAGTCTCTTTGTAACAAATTACCATCATTTTCTAAACACAGAGCCAGCATTATAGGCTGCTAGCAACTGTAGCTAGTGCCAGACTAACCCTTTTCTAAAATACTGCATAAAAAACCACTTTTACAGTATAAAAAGAAGTCCTCTGTCAATGAGTATATTAAAATAAAACCATGCTGATTCAGATGCAAAACTTGGAATTTTTTGCCCTGCGTTTTTATAATATTATCTTCTTTATGCTCTATATCTACATATTCTATGGTTTGGATTTTTTTTGGCTTTTAGCAATAAAGTACAAGACCGCTTGTCTACTGATATTTTTATTTTTACAGAATTTGCTATTTGTAGTTCCCCATTTACTATCCTTGCAATTTTTAGATCCAGCTCTTCCCTGAGCAATTCTGTGTTAAATCAGGAGGAATAAGGGCAAAATATAATCCAGTCCTTCCGACAGGCGTGTGGCAACAGGACAAGAGGCAACAAAAGCTGCAACACAGAAAATCCTGATTAGCTATTTGGGAAAAAAAAACCCACAACCCAGAGAGGCTATGGTATCTCCATCCTTGGAGATATTCAAACCTCAGTTGCACATGCCCTGAACAACCTGATCATTATAATGCAGTCCAGTCTCACTTTGAGTAGGGGGACTGGACTGGACAACCTCCCAATCTAAATTATTCTAGGAATGCAATTAATTTTAGGAAGCCAAACACAATTTTATCAAGCAACTGAAATATGCACCTTAGGTGCACTTTTGATCAGTTAGACATAAGTTATGAGCAACTCCACTGCCAGTGAAACAAAGTTTTATCCTTATCCTCCTGAGATTTACACATCACCGCCTATAGCTTTATTTGGATTTAAAACCCCACACTGCTCTTCAAACACAGAATTCACACCGAATAGTGCAGTTACCCGACAAAACACAAGATGGACCCAAGTTTGCCAACATCCATTTACACATCCAAGCTCTCTAGCACTCCAGTTTCCATTAGGCAATCTTGCATATGCAAGATCAGAAA